ACACAGCTGACGCACGTGAAAGTGCCGAGCTCCTGCTAACCTCCCTAGCTGCGGCCGCCCGGGGAGCCAGGCCCCCCCCCTGCCCAGCTTTGCCCCCGGCGCCAGCTGCGACTTGTGCCCCATTTGCAGAGAACCGCCACGCGGCAGCATGTCTCGCATCATCCCCTGCGGCCGCCAGGTCCACGACGAGTGTTTAGCCGGGGGCAGGAGCTGCCTGGCCCGGGGACTATGGACCTGCCCAATGTGCCGCGGAAAGGACAACGAGGGCGCCGCGTTCCTTTCCCTCCTCGCGGCAGGCACCTAGCCTGGCCCCCCGCGGAGCGATGGCTCCCGGCTTCACGCGAACGTCCGCCGCCGAGAAGAGCAGCCCGGCACGCCCTCATCCGATTGCCCGATCGAGGGCCCCTACCTGGCTGGACGCGGTCGGTCGAGGCGGCGCGCAGAGCTGGCAGCTTTTGCGACGGATGGGGAGGGGGGGCAGGTGGGGGGGAAAGGAATGGGGGTGGCGGGGTGCGGGGCGTGGGCGGGGCGTGCGTGTGTGTGGGTGCCTGTGTGTGTGTGTGTGTGTGTGTGCGTGTGTGTGTGTGTGTGTGTGTGTGTGTGTGTGTGTGTGTGTGTGCGTGTGTGTGTGTGTGTGTGTGTATGTGTGTGTGTGTGTGCGTGTGTGTGTGTGTGTGTGTGTGTGTGTGTGTGTGTGGGACAACATAGCAAATGCACGCGCGCGCGCCGAGCCTCTGCCGCTGCGCCTGCGCGGATGGCTTCTGGACAGACGGGCCCGATCGACGCTGGGTCGATCGATCGACCCCGCCCCAGAGACGCAACCAAGACTTCGAGCCCCAATCGGTGCTCGCTCGATCGATCGATCGATCGACGGGGGGGGCTAGAGGGGGATGGTCCGATGCCCGATCGAGGAGCCCTACCTGGCTGGACGTGGTCGGTCGAGGCGGCGCGCTGAGCCGGCAGCTTCTGCGATGGAATGGGGGGGGGGGGGGGGGGGGGGGGGGGGCAGGGGGGGGGGGCGGGGTGGGTGGGGGGCAAAATAGCAGATGCGCGCGCCGCGTCGGGCTCGTCCCCTCCCCCCCCTTCGATCACTCGCCGTCTTTCTCCTCGCCCTCGCCCGCGCAACTCGTGACATTTTGTTTGTGTATATATACACATGTATATGAATATGTATGCATGCATGCATGTATGTATGTATGTATGTATGTATGTATGTATGTATGTATGTCTATGGATATGTGTGTATGTATGTATGTATATATGTATGTATGTATGTATGTATGTATGTATGTATGTATGTATGTATGTATGTGTGCATATATGTGTGTGTGTATATATGTATATCAGAAAATTCCACGTGCGCAGGATTTGCCGCGGGCCCAGGTCGCTCCCCGCAGACGCGCGGAGGCCCGGGTCGCTCCCCGTAAGTTTCGCTGCCTGTGGCGCAGGATGCCCGGGGCGCTCCCCGCAGCAATGCGACGCAGTCGAGCTGTTGAATTGGACCCGCTTCGAGATTGGCGATGCAGGCGCTCGCGATCATCAGCGGCTTTCGTGCCCGCTCTCGACACCAAGGCATTGCCCGCTCGAGCTACTAGCCGACTACTTTTTCTTATTATTATTACTACTACCATTACTACAACTACATGTACTACTATTACTACTGCTACTACTACTACTGCTGCTGCTGCTACTGCTACTGCTACGATTACGATTGCGACTACGACTCGAATCTACCAACATATTTTTACTTCTACTATTACCACTACTACATTCTACTACGACTACTATTACTACACATAGATTACTATTACTACTACTTCTACTACTACTACTACTACTACTATTACTATTACTAGTACTAGTACTAGTACTAGTACGAGTACTACTACTACTACTACTACTACTGCTATGACTACTACTACTACTAGTACTACTAGTACTACTAGTACTACTACTAATACTACTACTACTGCTACTACTACTACTACTACTACTACTACTACTGGTGCTATTACTTCTACCACTACTACTATTACTACTACTACTACCACTACTACCACTACTACCACTACTACCACTACTACCACTACTACCACTACTACCACTACTACTACTACTACTACTACTACTACTACGACGCCTACTACTACTACTACTACTACCTACCTACCTACCTACCTACCTACCTACCTACCTACCTACCTACCTGCCTACTACTACTACTGCTACTACTACTAGTATTAGTACTACTACTACTACTACCACCACTACTACTACTACTACAACTACTACTACTACTACTATTACTACTACTACTACTACTACTACGTACTACAATACTACAATTGCTACTACTACGACGATTGCTATTATTTCACTACTACGACGATTACTATTGCTACTCCTCCTGCTACTACTTCTACTACTACTACTACTACTACTACGACTACGACTACGACTACGAACATTCGTACGATTGCGTATTATTAATATTGCGACCCTTTTTTGTTATATATATACACATATATATATGTATGAAACGGCTGCTATTGACATTACGTAAGCACATAGCATTATTGTTTCTTATTGCTATTATGATTACTACTACTACTACTACAACTAGTGGTAGTAGTAGTAGTAGTAGTAGTAGTAGTAGTAGTAGTAGTAGTAGTAGGCGTCGTCGTCGTCGTCGTCGTCGTCGTAGTAGTAGTAGTAGTAGTAGTAGTAGTAGTAGTGGTAGTAGTAGTAGTAGTAGTAGTAGGAGTAGTAGTAGTAGTAGTAGTAGTAGTAGTAATCATAGTCGTAGTAGTAGTAGTATTGGTGGTAGTAGTAGTAGTAGTAGTAATAGTAGTAGTAGTAGTAGTAGTAGTAGTAGTACTAGTACTAGTAGTAGTAGCAGTAGTAGTAGTAGTAGTAGTAGCGTAGTAGTAGTAGTAGTAGTAGTAGTAGTAGTAGTAGTAGTAGTAGTAGTAGTAGTAGTAGTAGTACTAGTAGTAGTAGCAGTAGTAGTAGTAGTAGTAGTAGTAGTAGTAGTAGTAGCAGTAGTAGTAGTAGTAGTAGTAGTAGTAGTAGTAATAGTAGGTCCTAGTAGGTCGTAGTAGTAGTAGTAGTAGTAGTAGTAGTAGTAGTAGTAGTAGTAGTAGTAGTAGTGGTGGTGGTGGTGGTGGTGGTGGTGGTGGTGGTGGTAGTAGTAGTAGTAATATTTGTAGTAGTAGTAGTGGTAGTAGTAGTAGTAGTAGTAGTAGTAGTAGTAGTAGTAGTAGTAGTAGTAGTAGAGTACCATCATTATCACTACTGCAATAGCTACTGGTAACCAGACCGCGAGTGCCTAGTCGCCAGTTCTCGTTGGGTATCCTGATCTACATTTGAAAGGTTCAATTTGAAATTGCAGCGCTGCGCGAGTTTACAAGTGTTTGGAGCAGTGAGATCTCTGGGTCATTTGGGTTCCGCCCTTTCATTGTCTTACTATTGCACCTGTTCGGTGCTACCCCCCGCCCGGTTAGGCTGCTTTCCTGCAGTGGGCGCCGTCGAACACCCGCCGTCGCGGCTCCGCGTCTGCCTCCGCCGCGCCCACCCTCGTTGGGCGGCCCCCCCGCGGGTCGCCTGCTCCACCTCGGCCCTATTGGTGCACCTGTTCGGTGTTTTCCTTTGCGCCGCTCTTCCTGCGCCGCTCGGTGCTATCCCCCGCGCGCGCCGGGTTCTCCCGCGCTGCTCCTCTGTATTTGGCGCCGCCCCGCCTTCTGGGCTCTGACCGCCTGCCACCGCGCCGTTCTTGCCCTGGTGGGGCCGCGCGGGCTCCCCAGTCCCCAGTGGCGCCTCCGCGTAACCTAGCTGGCGCAAGCCCTTGCCGCTTTGCGGGCGCCGCGCTTGCCGTCCTGGCGAGCTGGTCTTGCCGCTCGCCCCCGCTGCTGCCTGCCCTCGCGTCGCAGCCGCTTTGACGCTGCCCCCCTCCGGGGAGGAGGCCCCTGCCCCGCCGCTGCATCCCCTGCCCTGGCAGGGCGGATCGCCAGTCTTCTGCAGGTTTTTGGGCGGGCCGTCGCCCGTGGCCTCCTTCCCTCCGCCCCTGGGAGCGTGTCCTTTCCGTTCCGCCGGGCCCCCTCCAGCTCTTGGTGCCTGGCTGACCTCTGTCACCCCGCCGGCCGCCCCTCTTTGCTTGGTTTTCAGGCCACGCCGGCGTGCTCCCACGCCAGCTTCGTTAGGCGGGCCTCCTCCGCCCTGCTGCTCCGCCCCGCCTCGGCCACTTCCGCCCCTCCTCGGGGTGCGTTGGCCGGCCGCGCGCCGGGCGCCTCGCAGGCCCCTAGGATCTCGGCGCTTCCGCCTGTTTTCTGATGGGCTCCTTCCCCGGCGACCCCCTGGCCCCTCTCCTGAGGTGGTTTTCTCCGGCTGCCGCCCGGTTGCCTGGAGGTCGCACCGACCTCGGCGCGCGGCCGCCCCGCTGCGCTGCCCGCCCCCAGCTCGCGCTGGGCCTGTTCCCCCGCCCGCGTGGATCGGCCGCCCCCTGGCTGCCTCCCTCGGTTGCCCAGGCCGCCGCTTCCCCGTCGCCTGGCGTTGCCCTTAGCGCGGCCTGGCCCCGCTTTGAGCGGGCCCGGTGTCCCCTCCCTCCCGCCCACGCCGGGCTTCCCCCCCCCGCTCCTCGTGCGTCGCGGCTTAATTCGCATCCGTATGTCCTACACATACTGTTTCCGCCAGCGCAGTCAGTCTGCCTAGCCGCCGACGCAAACAGTGTGCGTGTGTGTGTGTGTGTGTGTGTTCCTACTGCGCAGCCCTTGTCGCCTGCCAGCGCTGAGACCAGGGCGGCGAGGAGCGCGAGCTTGCCAATGAAATGTGTGTGTGTGTGTGTGTGTGCCAAGTCTCTCCAATAGTTCTGTCGCTGTCTCCGTTCAGGTCATGATGCTGATTGAGGGTGTTTCAGCATAGTCGAATATGCTCATTCGAATCATGTGCTGCTGATGCAAGGTGCCCTAGGCTCATGTACCCTATCCCCCCGAACACATGCCCAGGATTGGGTGAAGGAAGAGGGAAACCGCGTGGTTTATTACGACCCGCTGTTGGTCTCCCACGCGCAGCTGCAGAAGGCGGAAATGCTGCCAGACGCGGATGAGGAGGTGGAAGGAATCGTTTGGGGGGAAAAGTGCGGGGGCACTGGCGAGAAGGCAAGCGATGGTAGCGGTCGCGGAGGATGTGGATGCGAATGGTGATTTCGATTCGGAGGAAAGTGTGGATGTGGGGGATGAAGGAAGATGAGGAGGGAGTGGAGGAAATTGGAGGATGACCGTGAGGTGTGTCAGACTTTGTAGCATGATGATGAGGTGGAGGAGCGTGGCGACAAGGAGGCGGAACGCGAGGGTAGGAGATGGCAGAAACGTTTTTTTTTTTTTTTTTTTTTTTTTTTTTTTTTTTTTTGTGCAGGATATGGAGTCCAGTCAGTCACTCGTGTCTTCCGTGCTGTGCCGAAGAAGACTTCAATGCCAGGAGCGAACGCAGCTGGATCCTCGGCACACCTGTCTCCAGCCTGCCACTTTCGGAACGGCTGTCCTCCTGCACGACAGTTTGTTTACCGAGAGGCAGTGCCGCACAGTGGGGTGGCGCAAGGGGGACGGCCTTCGAAGAAGGCCGCAGGCTTCTTAGAAGGCAGGGACCTTCTCAGAAGCTGGGAGGGTTTCTGAAAGGCCCCCTTCCCTCTCAGAAGCGCCCCCCCTCGCGCCCCCCCCCCCCCCTGTTCGCGCCGTCACGATAGGCAGGCCCTGTTCTTGCCGCTGCCCCTCTCCCCCCTCCTCCCCGCCCCTCTCCCGCTTCCCTCGTCCCTCGGCCCGCTGCCGATCCCGCTCCCCGCTGTGCAGCCCCCGTCGCTGCTCGTCGCCACCGCCGCTGCTCTTCCCCCCCCCTCCTTCCCCTGATCCCCGCTCCCGCCCTTCCGATTTCGTTCTGCCACTCCCGACTGCCGCCGCCGCTGCTGGTCGCCGTCCTCTGGTCCCCTGCAGGGGAAGCGTCCGAACCCGCGTTTGCAGCGTCTGTTGGACAGGTCCGTTGCCTTGGCGAGGCTGCACCACGATCCGCCTGACACCAGGGACTCGAGCAAAACGGTGGAGAGAACAAGTTGGTCTGCTTCAGGGGCGGCCCTCTTCCACGAGCAGCGGATGGCTACGTTAGATTAGCGAATTCGGCAGCGTGAGGCAACCACACTGGCCCAGTCTAGGGGGTAGTTTTCATTCTGTCAGACTTTACTGACAGCACCCGCTCCTATTTGTTTTTGTTTTTCAAAGTTTGGCCGTGAGATGATCTAGTGCTGTGCGGTGCGCTTCCCCACTGGGCATTCGATCCAGCCATCCATACACCCCCAACCTCCGCCGCCCTCCCCCCCCCCCCAGAAGCCAAGGTGGTGAGAGGGTACTTCGAGCAGCTCGAGGGCGGGGCTGAGGCGCGGCACCGCCCCTGCTCCGAGCGCCACTGTGCCGCCGCCGCCAAGCGCCGCCACCGAGCGCTGCCGCTGGGTGCCGCCGCCGAGCGCCGCCGCCGCCTCCGAGCGCTGCCTCCCGGCGTCGCGCGGCCATGGCATCGCCGGTGGGCGCCCGCGGGGAGGCCGAGTCGGGGGCCCCCTTGCCAGGGAGGGTCGGTCGCTGGCGCGCGGGCCCCGCGGCGTGAGCTGCGCGGCCTTGGGCTGATGCTTCGCGCGCGCGGGCTTCCAGCCGCGGACGTGCCCGCTTTGGGCCCCCTCCCGCTCCCGCTCCTGCGTCTGCTCCTACTCGAGGCGCGATCGAGTCGCACGGCTTGCTGTTTCGCTGCCGCCGTTCGGACTCGCCTCCAGCGCGCTTAGCCTGCTGCGCGTGCCAAACCGGCCAGGCGCTCTCTTGCTCCCCCCCCGCGTTTGTTTCCATACTTGGTTACCAAGGGGCTCGAAGCGCTAGAGTTGATCTGGCTGTGGTCCCCGACGGCTCCACCACCACCTCCTCCTCCTGCTCCTGCTCTGGACTCATCTGTGAGGACAATCCTCGGTGCGACCACCTGTACACGGAATGGCGCACCCGCGGACCGTTGCTGGGACGTCGTTGCGGTTGTGGACGTGGATGTGTATATATCAGCATGTTTGTCTGTCTGTCTGTCTGTCTGTCTGTCTGTCTGTCTGTCTGTCTGTCTGTCTGTCTGTCTGTCTGTCTGTCTGTCTGTCTGTATGCTGATACATGATGCTGGAAACCAATCAACAATCATATATGTTTTAGGGCTATAGGGCTGTAGGGCCGTAGGGCTATAGGGTTATAGGGCTGTAGGGTTATAGGGCTATATGGCTATAGGGCTTTAGGGCTGTATGGGCTATAGGGCTGTATGGGCTATAGGGCTATCGGGCTATCGGGCTATAGGGCTATAGAACTGTAGGGCTATAGAGCTATAGGGCTGCAGGGCTACAGGGCTATAGGTCTATAGGGCTGTAGTGCTATAGGGCTATAGGGCTATAGGGCTATAGGGCTATAGGGCTATAGGACTATAGGGCTACAGGCTATAGGGCACCCTCCGGGCATCGGGCCCTGTCTATAGATGTAAGGCTGGCGCTTTCTTAAAGCAGCCTCCTTCTAAGAAGCCTTCCCCCCTCCCCCTACCCAGTGCGCGCCGCCAAGAGAGCGGGGGATGAGGGCTGAGGAGGCGGAGAAGGGCGGGGAGGGGAGTGGGCGGGTCCTGCAGGGCGGGTCCATGACAGGGCCCACTTCGATTCATTTCGATACGATCTCGATCCTCCTCCTCCTCCTCCTCCTCCTCCCTCTCCCTCATCCCTCCTCCTTCGATGCTCCTCCTCACCCTTCGTTCTTCATCCTCCTTGTCCTCCTCCCTCCTCGTTTCCCCCCCCTCCTCTCCTCCCCCCTATCTCCTCCTCCTCCCGCCCTCTCCGCCTCCCGCACCAAAAAGGGAGCAGGCGGGTCCTGCAGGGAGAGGGGCGCCTGGCAGGGTCCAGTTCGATCCGATTCGAGGTTCTAGGTGTTCGAGACTCTCTAGGAGGGCCTCTTGAGGCTCTCGTGCATGCCCGTGGCCAGGGGAACTTGAATTCTAGAACAGAGATATCGGTTATTTTAAAATCTTCAGGGGTCCCCAAGCGGGTGACCACACCGTGTGGTGAGTCGGTGTGGATTCGGGGTCACCGCACAGTTTTGGGACTCGGGTCGTTCTCCGAGGAAGTTTCGGGCGACTGGAGCCTCCAGGGTCCCAAAATCGTGCGCTGACGGACCGTGCGGTGAGATCTTGGGGGATTTCGACACCGCACGGTCTGTCACCGCACCGTTTCGGGACTCCAGAATTTTATGCATCTCGAAACGCAGGCACGACACCTGGGCACGCACGCGGGCGCGCGACGGCACTGGCACATGTCTCGCATCCTTGATATTGGAATCGTCTGTCTTACAGGGTCCTTGCATCATTCGTCGCTTAGGATGAAAAGATATCCGAACCCCAAACAGTCGCTAAGAGAGACCCCGGAGGGCCCCAAGAAGGCTCCCCGACGGCGCCAAACAAGCCGACGGCGCATAACAACGACGCCCCCCCCCTCACCTCCGCCTCCTTGTCCGTCCGCCTCCCTCTGCGTTTGCCTTCCTCCTCATCTGGTGCCCCGAGCACGGGTAGGGTCGCCAGCGAGCATCTTGACAGTAAATTTCTGTTTGCGGCTCGCGCGCGGCACATTTTGTTTGTGTTTTGTGTGGTCGCCCCGAGAATAGGCAAGGTCGCCAGATCTCCCCCAGACCGCCATCTTCTCGGTGCCCACGGACGCCCCCTGCAGCAGCTTCTCATTGTTCCTCCTTCCTTCCTATCCCCCTTCAACCGTTTCCCATCTTCCCTCCTCACATTCCCTCCTCTTTCATTCCCTCTCCTTCCTCCTTCCCCGACCCTTTCCACCTGCCCCCATTCCCCATCCCTTTATCCCTTCCTCAGTCCTTCTGTCCTTCCCTTCGTCCTCATTCTCCCCTTTGCCTCCCTTTCTTCTTTGGCTACCTGCAGGGCCACGATGCTCGCAGCGTCGGTGCTGGCGCTCTGCGGTGTGCATGACACCCCCCGAAGGCGCCCCTCGGACGGCCCCAAGACCCAACGCCAGAACTCGACGATTCCCGGATGCTCTCATCGACCGATTCGAGGCTCCCGAAAAGCATCCAGCCTCCAAGATGTACTGAGTAGCGACAGCAGAGTGTCCCAAGGTCCCAAGACGGCCCAGGATAACCGCGAGATGACTGCCCGACGAGCCCAAGATGGCCCAAGGTGGCCAAAGGCGGCCCAAGACGGCCCAAGAGCGTCTGGAGATGTCCCAACAAGGTTCCAAGACGGCCCAGGAAAGCCAAACAGGGCCCAAGGTTCCAAGAAGCTGCAAGACAGTCCCCAGAGGACATCTCGGCGGCCAGCACCTGATGGCCATATTGCTTGCGACCGGCTAGAACCTCAGCGCGAGCGAAGCGCGTGTGTGGTTCTACAACCCTGTAGTATACATAACCGTGGACTGGGCCCTGGGGCCCCTTGGCCGGGACCTCGACTACATATGCGGGATCTGGGGCTCGGAGACGGTCCAGAAGAGTTCTCAGACGTTTCCGGGCCTTCAGGGCACCCTCCCGTGGCCACGGCTGGACACATTCAGATATTCAAGCCCGGACGCCCCCCGGTGAATTTGGGAGGGGGAACCGTCCCACCACCTGTCCATTTTCTTTTCTCTCCCCCTCTTTGTGCTCTTCGTTATCACCGTCCTCCGAGAGTGGACGTTGTCCAGGGGATCCAGATCGCTGCCACAGGTTGGCATGGCCGCCCCTGGCCTCCTGAGGGCTCCGAGAGCTCCCAGACGGCTGAAGACGCCCTCCAGACTGGCCCAAGTCCGCCCTTCCGTCCGATCGGAGACGGCCCTGGAGGGCTTCAGCATGGTCCTAGAATCCCCCGCGACCTTCCGAAAAGGCTTCGAGAGGACCTCCAGGGGGGGGCCCAGAGGCACAGCTTGTGGATTTCCCGTTGTTTTTTTTACTGGGGTGCGTGCACATAATGACTTAACGGAGTTTTGGGCGTCGGTCTCACCGAGCCTCATCGTGTCAATTTGCAGTCATCCTGGCTCTAAGTTTCATGCAGTCGGTCTTGGGCGTCATCGTCGCCACACTGGCTCTTCTGCTGAGATACTCCCCGCCGCCGCCATTACTGGAGTGCTGGTGGCTGCGGCTCGGAGCGTGACGAGATGACCGACCTGTCGCCACCGCTTGCCCCTTCGAGAATCGAGATGAGCTGGCCCGAGAGTCTAATGCATCCTGGAGTGGTCCAAGATATCGCTCGGAGGCTGCACAGCGAAGCGTGCATCTGCCAGTTGGAGTGTCCGCGTGAGGCTAGATTGAGATATATAATCGGCAGCGCTACGCTGGTGGTCGTTGTCGGCCAGACCGTGATGCTCCTCTTATGTTGGTGTGCGTGCCGACGACCGAGCAGCAATGTCCCTCGTCGCTCTCCGTCCAGTTCGCCTCGAGGCAACAGAAAGGCGACTTTCGGTGCAGGAGTTATCGAATAGCCTCCATCCAGGAAGGTCCTGGCCATCAAGTGTCCTGAGGAGGGCCTCTGGCATGAGAGGGTTCTCATGGGCTGGTTTGGGGAATGCTGATGGGGATGCTCTGTCTGTCTTGGTGGATGCCGACCCCCAACGGGGATCTCTATATGAGGAACATGTTGGTATGGAGGCCGACGAGGGCGAGATCCTGATCGTTCTGGGCATCATGGGCAGCTGTCCGCCGTAGCTGCATGGCAAGTTCTGCGTGTTCGCGAGCGACGCCTACCCCACGAATGATTGGATTGGCCGCGAGGCCGAGGCTGCCGCCTCACGCGTGCGGTCGCTTGGGCAGAGCCTCCAGCCCCCGCGCACTCCGTGGGCGACCACTGGGCAGCTGGTGCCGCTCGGCGGCGTCGGGCGCAGGCTGCGCCGAGGCGCCGCCGGGCCGCCTGCCGTGGGCGGGGCGCCCGCGGCCGTGGGCGGCGCGGCGACCCCGGCCGCAGTTCCCGCTGCCCGCGGAACCGCGCGAGCACGTGGATGCCGAGGCGCCTCCCGTGCGCTTGTCGGTGCCTCCATTCCTGGCCTTGCTGGCCAAGCGGCCTGTTCTGCAAGAGGAACTAGTGTAACTCATCACTGAGAATGCGGAGGGCGCCGAGACGATAGGCATGGAGGTGTCCCTACGGGCTTGGGGTATCGCGGTGGCGGCGACGGACGGCCTTGTCTATCGGCACGGGGTTTCTTGCGGGCTCAGGCAGTGGAGAGTTCCGACTGCGTCGGGCTCGTGCGCGGGCCCAAGGCCCGCTGCTCAAACTGAACCACTCCCGTGGGCGCCGCGGCCCTATTGGCGCGCTCGGAAGCCGAGCCCGAGTCCCGCGGCGACGACGTCCGCACCCTGTGGGTCGACTTCGACGAGGTCGGCGATCGGTTCAAGAGCTGGAAGAAAGCTGCGCGGGAGAGCAAGCATGAGCGGGTCCCCGCCATCGAGGTGCAGGGGCCGCCTGGAGCCCTGCACCTCGCTCGCCGCACTGAACGCCGAAGCGGTGATCCTTGGCGGGGGTGACAGGTGTTCGCACGCAGCAGCAGCGTCAACAAGACGGATCGGGTCTACCATGAGATGACCACGTTCACCGAGAGTTTCAAGCTGCTCGGTGAGTTCGACCAGTTCAACCTCGGCGCGTCGGCGGGCGTCGAGAAGGTCGCCTGGCGGATGCCGGGGGTGATCGACGCGCGCTCGGTGGGCAATGGCGCCCCGTCGCGGCGAGCGGCCGCGGTCTACGAGGGCGACGCCAATTACGGCGACGTTACTTCTCCTGCTTTGCGCAAGTGAGGCATCAGCAAGCTGAAGGATCGCGGCGAGATCGAGACTACTCGCGCGCGCCAGCCGGGGCCCGCAGATGGCGCAGACGGCGGGGGCGGCCCTTCGAGCGCCGACGGTGCCCAGGGTCGGCCAGGCAGGGGCGATGGGCCAGTGCGGGGCGGACGAGGCGGCAAGGGCACCGCTGCCCCGAAGAATGAGTGGGCAGGGTGACGGACCGTGGACAGGCCCTCCACGCCGCGGCCCGCGGAAGGCTTTGGATTTCGGGCGCCTGGTCGCCCCGGGATTTCCAAGCAGTTCCCGCCGGCCGTTCCTCGGCGCGAACCTGCCCCCGCTGCTGGCGGCCGACGTGCCGCGCGAGACCGTGCTCGGGGTCGCGTGCGACAGTTGGTGGGGGGCGTCTCGCATTCTTTTAACTTGCGTGCATAATTTGATAATCGCCGACCTCTCGGCGTCCGAGGTCGCTCTGGGGCCCCCGGCCCTGCTTCGGGGGTTCTCCGTCGGAGGCCCCCCTCAATTGGGCGAGAACCCCGCTTGCCTTGAGCCTTCGGCGAAGCTTCAAGCGCGGGGCGGTGGTCGTGTTTTCTACTTGCCGCCAGAAGCGGCCCTTCGGAAGTTGTTCTGTGACAAGGCACCTGGCTACAGATGGATGCCTCGTCGGCTACACTCGCGCCGTGCCAGCGCGGTCGGGTCTCACTGCCCGAGAAGCGGGCCTCCGTGCCCGACGTTTTGGTATTGGTGGGGATCGTGGCCGATCCTTTCTAGCGGGTGCAGGGGGGAGCATGGTGGATCCTACTACAGCGGACTACCAGGATGATGGTGCTGAGCGATGCTACGTGGACCCTCAGCTCGCCAGCAGTCCATCGCTTTGCGCCCGCTCCGTCCACGTCCTCAAGGCCAGCAACATGCTGGTCTTTGGTCGCTGGGCTCACGAGCGAAGGGCTTTTTTCTCGAGAGCAGGAAGCACGGGAAGCTCGGCCTCATCTTAGATGCGCGGCGGACCAATCGGCGATTCGCGCGTCCGCCGCGCGTCGTCCTCTTGACGGCCGAAAGGCCGAGAGTTTGGGCCGCGTCGAGGGCCCCCCCCCGACGGACGGGGGCACCTGGGGTGGGCGCCGCGCCCGCGGAGCGGTGGCAAGCGCATCGCCTTGGCTGGATGGCGCGCTGAGTGAGACGAATGAAGTCTGCGCGCAGGCGCGCGAACGCCAGGAAAACGGGCGGGGAAGGGGGGCGCCTCACTTGGGATGGGCGAAGCGCCAGGGGCGGGAAGGGGGGGCGCGCCACCTGGGGCGGCATGCCCGCCCGTGAGAGCGCACCTTCCCTGTGCGCGCGCAAATTGATCAAAGGTTTAGGCACGCCCACAGCAGAGCCAGGCGCACTACCTGGTGTGGATGGCGCGCCTGGGGGTCGCCTGGGGCGGGAGGCGCCTAGCGCCACGCGCCTAATTAGTGCGCGAACAGGTGGATCGGTGACGCGGGGCGTCGCAGCCCAGGTAGGGTTCGTGACGCGCCGCGCTGGGCCCAGGAGTTATCGCCGTTCGTTCCCAGGAGCGCGCCCCCTGGCCCCTCTCCCTCGTCCGCGCACGAGCGTCGGGCCATCAACCCGCATCGCCCTCCTCTTCCTCTTCATCATCCTCGCTCCTCCTCCGTGTGGCCCTCTTTCTCCTCCTCCCTCCTCCCTCTGCCCTCCTCCTCCGTCATCCTTCTCCTCCACCTCCTCCTCCTCCACCTCCTCCTCCTCCTCTGGCCCTGGCCCTCCTCTCAGCACGCGCGACCAGCTGGGCCCCCCAACGCCCGCTGCGAAGGCGCAGGCGCAGCAGCAACAGCAGCAGTACTCGCAGCTGCGCAGCCGCCAGCAGCAGCAGCAGGAGGAGGCGCCAAAGCTCTCGGCCGCTGCACGCTCGCGTCGGGCGTTTGGCAAAGCCCAGTCCTTCTCGAGTCAGGAAACAATCAAAACATACCGTTTTTGTTAATTTTGTCTTCTCGGAGCCCTGACTAGGTTTCGGGACCGTCGAAAATCGACTCAGGATGAAAAGCAGGTCCCGGGAATAGGGTCGAGACCCTAGGGGGTCGGAGTTGCGAAAAAGTCCTGGCGTCGGGGGTCTGTGGGGGTGATCAACACCTGCGACCACTCGCGAACCCTACCCTTGCAGCCGATTCGGTGGCGATTCTGGCCGGTCCGATCCGATGCGACATGGATTTCCTGCCGATCCTACGCGGCCCGACGTTTACATGGCGTTGTTGTGCATCCTGGCGCAGCCGATCCGATACGATTCCGACTCGGTGCTTTTGCGGTTCGTTTCGACGCACATTCTGTTTTGATCCGGCTTTCAAACCGATGGTGACTGATCCTGCCCCTGCGGGTCCAAACGGCGCTGGGGTATCGGACACCCCCGCTGGGGTTCAATTGGCCGTAGACATGCTTCAAATTCTGAGCCCCGCCCAGTTTTTCAGAGATGGGGCCCGCAGTGTGATGGGCCTGTTTTCCACCACCACCATCATAAGCTGGAGGGGGAGGGGGTCCTCCTCCTCCTCGTCCTCCTCCTCCTCCTCCTCTCCTCCTCCTCCTCCTCCTCCTCCTCCTCCTCCTCCTCCTCCTCCTCCTCCTCCTCCTCCTCCTCCTCCTCCTCCTCCTCCTCCTCCTCCTCCTCCCCCCCATCCAAATTATGGTGGTGGTGGTGGTGGTGGTGGTGGAACACAGGCCCATCACAGTGGTAGGGATCACACGTGGTTGCCTCGAAAGGGCCCTATAGTTGGCCCAGAAGTGCCCCCCGCTCCCCTCCCCCCCCCCCCCTGGGCCCTGGCGGTGCACGAAGGGCGCGCCTGTCTTCGCCCCCCGAGGTGCTGCTCTCCCCTCAGGCAGCGCCCGACCCTACCCGCGCCTCTCGCAGTGGTCTCTCGCGTGTGCTCGCGTCGTGGCAAGATCACGGTGGGCCACGGTGAGTCCTGCCTCCACGTGGGCAGGGCTGAACCTAAACGGCGTTTTTCGTTTTTGTTTTGTTTTCGTTTTCCCCCGCTTTTGTCTTCAATCCGCCTTTAACGCAGAACGAGGTCCAAACGAAAACGGCCCACGAAATCTCCAAAACACCGTTTAGGTCCGGCCCTGCAGGGGTGGACCTAAACGGTGTTTTGGCGATTTCGTGGGCCGTTTTCGTTTCGGCTTCGTTTTGCGGTGAAGGCGGATTCGAGACCAAAGCGGGGGAACACGAAAACAAAACGAAAACGAACAACGTTTAGGTTCAGCCCTGCACGTGGGCACTGGTGGGCGAGAAGAGCGGAGGCTCCTCTCGGCGGACGGGACTCGAGAAGATTTTGCACCCGTCGAAAGGCGGGAGGCGCAGCAGGCCTAGTGGGGAACCGTAGGACGGCAGCGCAGGATGACGCGCACGGAATTTACGTCACCTTGTGGGGCTGTGTGCTGAAGTACGTATGCTTTTGTTTCGCTTCGTTCTTCGAGCATCTGGGGCTGAGAATTCGGGACCCGGGGAGGTCACCAAGGGGCAAGATCTCAAGTCATCCGGGATCTGGGGGCAGCAGCAAAGTCGTCTGGTGTCTTGTCGTATGGGCTGGTGTACGGCGGACGGCGATAAAGATATGGGGGAAGAGGCGTGGCAGGAGGAGGAAGCGAGGTAGGACGTGGACGTGGTGGCCCTGGAGGCCCAACTTGCAAGGCAGAGAGGGAGGAGCGCATGGGAAGCATGCGGAGGATCAGGCACAGGCTCAGCAGGAAGAGGGAACAGAAGGGGCAGCAGGAGGGCAATAAGAACCGGCGCCAGGATGGGCGCAGGTCGACGGTACTCAGCTACGTGCTGGGGGAAGCGCAGGAGGGAAGAGGGCGAAGCACAGGAGGAAGGAGGAGAGGGATCTGCTGGAGCTTTCTGCGCGGACGCTACAGGCGATGACGTCGAAGCCGGCGAGCAGGCCAAGGGAGGCGGCGAGCCAGCCAGGCAGGCCATGGGAGCCGGCGAGCCAGCCAAGAAAGCCATGGAGGCGAGCCAAAGGGGTGGCGGAAGCTCCGCCAAGCGAAAAGGCTTGGCCGCTATCCTCAGAGACGAACTTCAGAAGCTGAGAGGTGATGAGGAGGAGCCTGTCCTGCTGGACAAGCTGGATCGCCTGGTCGAGCACCGGAGGACCCAGACGGCAGGACAGAGGGAGGGAGCAGAGAGAAGAGACCAGCGAAAGACCAGCCAGGAGCAGGAGAGAAGTGGAAAGTGGACGTGAGAGCATGGGGTGAGTATGCTTTCATGTCGGCTTCGCAGCTCCACGACCAGCTCGAGAGTGGGCAAATACCGACAGGAAGCGTGGTGGTGGTCAAGGAGAGCCAGCGTCAGAAACTCGCAGACCTCGCGTCTGCACACGGCATCACCAAGCCTTTCACTTGTGGTGGTCCACGATCAGGAGGGGACATCGGACAGGCCGTTGATGACCGTCCCGATCCTCGAGGACGGAAAGCCCGGTTTGGAGATGTCCTTGCAAACATCCGAAAGGGGCTGCTCTTGCCGCTCCAGCGCTGCCCGACGCTGCCCTGGGCGGCAAGGGCGGCGGCGGCGGAATGGGCAACGAGAAGAAGGAGCAATCCATAAAGAAGGATGGCGGAAAATGGGGGGGGGGGAGACCGAGGGAGGAGTCAGGGGAGTGGCAAAGGAGTCGACCGCCAGCGGTCACAGAGTACGGGATCCAGCTCGACTTCCTCGAATAGCGGATTGCGTGGTTCGGCCGGGGTGCTTGCCCGCTCCCTCGGGGCCAGCGCCCCCGGCAGCATCGCGAAGCGACGACTGACGACTGGGGAGAAGCTCGCGTGCGACAAATGGGGGGCCAAGATGGAGATGGAGATGAAGGACATCCTGCGCCTGAGGAACCCGACCAGATTTCCGCTGCCGCTCAACATGTAAAGGAGAATGCGGCGCCAGGCGGAAATGGCGGAGGACAACCCAGGGAGTCCAAGGGCGAGGGGAAAGACCAGAACTGGGGCGGTGCTGGAGGTCCCTGGCAAACAAAACCTGCCCTTCTGGCAATGGCTGTCGGGGCGGGGCAGTCGTTCCTGGGCATCCGTGACGAGGTGGGCCCGCGCTGCGGCGCTGCGCTGGGGGGGGGGCGCTGGCCGTGCCAGTCGAACCCCGCCGGTGGGCGTGCTGGTGGGCGCCTCCCCAGCTGTCTTCCATGCCGGAGCAGGACTCCGTGCGTTGCCACCCGGTGTTGGATCTGTCCTCGGCGATCCCGAGGTCAGTGAGTAGCCTTGGATGTCGCTCGACAGAGACTGGTCGGGCGGCCCCAGCGTCGGGCAGAGGAGGGGTGATATGCCCTTTCGTCGCGTTGCTGCGGTGCCTTCGGGCTGGAGGGATTGCCTCGCTTTCGCAGACCGCCCTGGACTTGCTGCAGAGCGGTGAACCAGGGCGAAGCATCCTCCGCGGCAATGCGGGGGGCGATGCCAGCAAAGGTGCGACTCGGCGAGTCCGGGCATGCATCCACCCTTCCACTCCCGCCCCGAGCACGCGGCTGCTGCGCGCCCCTCGGAAGCGGAGCCCGTTGGTTGTTAGGGCGTCACCTGGGGATGCCTTCGCATTTGAACCTAGGTGGGCCCGGGATAGGGAGCAGACGAACAAAGTCAATCAGAGGCTCGCTTATGATGAGGCAGCTAAAGTAGAGGCGGAAGTATTGCGTCTATGGGCCCACAGGGAACAGTGTTCAGACGGTGACATCACTGACGCGAGCTACGACTCCGATGGCGACCGTGTCGCTGCGTCCACGAGGAAAGCCTCGAAAAACAAGGGTGTGAAAAAGACCGGCCCAATGTGGCTCGGGCCGATGCGGTTCATAGTCGACACCAGCTGTGGATCGAATCTGAACGGGGGGACCTATGGTGTCCCACCTTGCCCATCCCGTCCCGCACACAGGGACTTCGCACTCTCCCCTCATGGTGGGAGAGTGTGTGTGTGTGGGCCGCCCCCCCTGACGCCGCACGTGCTGCGCCAGGGGTAGTGGGGATTTCTATTGAAGGCAATGAGTTCCATGAAGTCCCTCTCGCCCGTCCCCCCCACCCACACCTGGTCGCCGTTGGACGCCCTGTGGTGGCCTTCGGTGCGGTCGGGTGGCGTCGCCCTATGGTGATGATGATGATGATGATGATGATGATGATGATGATGATGATGACGGTGATGATGCTGATGATGAGGATGCTGATGCTGATGCTGATGCTGATGCTGATGCTGATGATGATGCCGATGTTGATCATGATGATGCTGCTGATGATGATGACAATGATGATGATGATGATGATGATGATGATGATGATGATGATGATGACGATGATGATGATGATGATGATGATGGTGGTGGTGGTGGTGATGATGATGATGGTGGTGGTGGTGATGATGATGATGGTGATGGTGATGGTGATAATGTTGACGATGATGATGATGATGATGATGCTGATGCTGATGCTGATGCTGATGATGATGATGCTGATGATGCTGATGCTGATGATGATGACGACGACGACGACGTTGTTGATGATGATGATGATGATGATGATGATGATGATGATGATGATGATGATGATGATGCTGATGCTGATGCTGATGCTGATGCTGATGATGATGATGATGATGATGATGATGATGATGATGATGATGATGATGATGATGGTGATGGTGATGGTGGTGATGGTGGTGGTGGTGGTGGTGATGATGATGAGGAGGAGGATGAGGACAGCAGTTTCTTTTGCCCGTCTGCCAGGCCTGTTGGATTCGTGGGGAGCGATGGGGGCCTTCGAGCCGATGGGATGGCAGATCGTGCGGGGGGCGCAGGGGCGGCTGAGATCGCCGCGGACAGGTGGCCGCCCTTCAGCACGAGCTTGACCAGGTTACGCTGGAGGCATCCTTCGCCCCATCCTCCGCTTTTTCCTCATCCTCATCCTCCTCCTTGCTCGTCCCTCCTCCTTTCGCGCCGCCTCCACACCCCGAAACGATCATGGTCGAAGGGGGTGACAAAGGAACATAACAATAATGTTAGCGAGCCGAGAGAGCGGCGGGTCGCGCCTTCGCGGACTTCGCCCACCACTCTGGCGACCTTGTCATAAGGACCAGCGGCTTGTTGATGTGGTGGCCTTTCGGCCACGGAGTCTCTCCTGCCTCCAGGGTCCAATTTTAGGCTTCGAAAATCTCACACGGGGTGGGGTGGAGGGACCTGCGAGGGGCTCCCGAGCAGTAGGCCCCGCACCTCCTTAGACAACAAGGCCTGGGCCTGACTCGAGACGTTTAGCAACCTAAAGCTTGTGGGGTCTCCCAGGGCCCGCACATGGAGTTCCGAGGGCCAGGAGGCTCGGGGCCAGCAAGGCACAGAACCTGGTCTCGCTGGGCGGCCTTACAACAGTCCGAGCACAGGTCAGGCACTGCCGCCTGCTACCATTCCAACGGCATTCGTGAGCCTGGCCAGGACAGAGGGGCTTGCGACCCTTCCTGGCACGGGCGATCCTGGCCAGGTCCCCGAACCTCCTCCTCCTCCTCCTCATCCCTCCTCCTCGCTTCCCCCTCTCCTCTTTGCTCCTCGTTCTCCGCCTCCTCACTCCTCGCTCCTCGCCGACCTCTTCCATCTCCCCTCTCTGGCGCAGCAGCCGGCCGAAGACGGCCCGTGTGTTGTGGCGGGCCGCCTGCCAGCTCCCCCAGAAGTGAGCCGCGTGCCAGTCTTCCTTCCCTCTCCCCCCCAAGCCACAAACATCTCGCCGCCCTCCTGCTGCATCCCTGCTCCCCCCCCCCTTCCCTCCAACGGAGGGTCCCGTCTGCCACGATGGCACGCCTGTGTCCGTGTGCCCACGGTGCCTGGACGCCCTCCGTCGCCTCCCTCCCGCCCCCCCATATCCCCTCGCGTCGTGAAAAAAAACTCGGCTGGAGGTCTTCGGCCATCGCCGGCCCCCCGGGGGCTCTCGCCAGGCCCCGGGACCGTCCGCAAGCGACTCGGGATGAGAGCCCGGCCCTGGGGAGAGGGGTCAAGGGTTTTCGGGGACCCCGTGCTGAAGGCATCAGGACACTGGGTGTCTGGGATGAAAGAATCACGCGCCCCGAGGGCCCCTCGGCCGCGGGCGGCCGTCTCCTCCTTCCCCTCCCCCCTCCCCTCCCCTCCGTGCTCCGCAACTCGTTCCGCCTGTGTCCCGGTGTAGCCTGCCCGCAGCTCGGCTCCGTGACGCCGCCGGCAAGACATGTCTGGGATTCTGTGACGCCCCCGGCTCGATCGGCTGGGCGGCCTGCCGCCGTGGGGTCCCCGATCCGCGCAATTCCATGTTTTGGATTCTGGATGGCAAGTTGTCGGGAGGGGAAGCAAACACACAGAAACAAGTCATCGTCGACTCCCCAGAAAATATAGGAAATTATGGACAGTGGGGGGGATGACGAAAATCCAGAACATACGGCAAACTATGGGGAGTCTTGTTGTTTGTGTGTATTGATTTGTGTGTCCCAGGGCCCCTTCAATTAAATGTTTTGGATTCTGGATGGCAGGTTGTCAGGACGTCTGAAGCGACACCCATTGGCCCGACCGACGGACGCGTCTGGTGGCGCGGAGAGGGGAAAAGGGATGAGGAACGTGGACGGGGAGGAGGGCTAGGAGGAGGAGGAGGAGGAGGAGGAGGAGGAGGAGGGAGGAGGAGGAGGAGGACGAGGAGGGAGAAGAAGGAGAAGAAGAGGAATAAGAAGAAGTATACAACTAAGAAACATAATAATAATACGAACAATAATGAGACGACGCATATTAATAACAAAAAAGAATACTAATAATAATGATAACTTCAATACTACTAGTAATAATATCACGAAGCATACGAATAATACTACGAAAACGAAACGTAAGCATACTAAGACTAATAATAACAATAAGAAGACGAATACTAATACGAAGACGAATAACAATAATAATAAGACTACCATATTAACAATAACAAGAAACATAGTAATCATAATATTAATAATGCTACCACTACGAATAACAATGCTAACAATACTCAGATTAATAATACTACTAATACTAATATTATCATTAATAATGATAAAGAGAAGAATAATACTACTACGAATATTAATAGTAATAGTAATGAGAATACTACTACTAATAATAAGAAGAATAACAATACTAATACGCAGAATAAGACGAATCATAATAATACTAATACGAAGAATATTATTATTAATAAGAAGACTAAGACTAATCATACACATAGTAATACTAAGAAGAGTAAGGAGGAGGAGGAGGAGGAGGAGGAGGAGGAGGAGGAGGAGGAAGAGGAGGAGGAGGAGGAGGAGGAGGAGGAGGAGTTTTGACCTGACAAAGACCAGCCGCACACGTACTGGCCAGAGGTTTGAAAAACGCGCAATTGCGCCGTCCTCAGTAGTGGACCGAGAGGGCCGAGAACAGGCTGAGGAAGGCCACCGTGATGAAAGCCACCTCGAACAGCTAGCAGGCGAAGACGTCGGTCACGCCATCGAAGCCCGTGCGCTCGTGCCTGCTTAAACGTGCCCATGATCACTGGGAGCTGCCCCCGAAGAGCTCCTGCTGCCAGCAGCACCGTCGACGCCTCGTGAACTCCGACACCCTCCACAAGGCCAGCATGCTTGCCAGAGAGCCGCTCGACCAGACGATCAGGGCGCACATCAGCAGATGCACCACCTGCGCCGTGGGCTCCAGCATCGTCCCCGTCGTAGACGTCCTTGCCGCGAATGTCCACCACCTCCGTCCCGTGTGGACTGGGGCGGGCCTCGGTCGAAGACTCCAGTACCAGCCGATCGTCCGACACACCGTGAGCCCCGAACGCCTGAGCCAGAAAACCAGGGTCCTCAGCGGGAGGATGCACCAGCGGAACAGGGAGTACAGCAGCAGGCACTCCAGCAGCATTGCGGACACCCATACCCGCAGCAGGAAGATCTCCCAAAATACCGCCACGAAACCCTTCACTGTCAGGGTGGCCCGACTCCATGAAGCCGTCCTCGTCCTCGAAGCCGAACGCCGCCGAGCTGAAGACGACTGCCCCGCACGAGCACCGAAGCCCGTGCCGCCGTGCCGGGACAGGGCCGAAGGGCAGCCCCGCCTCCCAGCCCAGCCGCGGGCCGGGGCCGGCGGCCGCCCAGGCGATGCCGCTGGCGGACGCCGAAGCGACGCCTCCAGGCGGCACCCGCGCGGCGTGCCAAGCGGCGTTGCGGCGCCGCCTGGAGCTGCCAGGGACGCGGCGCCTGCTGGCCGCGCACTGGAGGGCAGGCCTAGACGCGAGCTCGCGGTCGCGCCATGAGCCAGGCTCGCCACCAGCGCCAGCGCGGCGGCCGATGGCCGCCTCAACAGCAGCCTGCCGCCGCTTTCGAGCGGCACGGCGAGCCGCCGTCGGGCCCAGGGAGTCGATGTCAGCCTGCCGCTGCGATGAAGGCCGCCACGCCGTCGGGCCGCCCGCCGCCGCCATCCCCGAGAGCCAAAAGCCCCACTCCCCCAAGTCCCTCACGCCCGCCAAGTTGCCCCGTGAATCTGGGGTCTCGGGGTACGCCAGGGGACAAGGTCCAGGAGCAGGGGGCCTACGGAAAGGCATGAGCCAAAATGGCTTGAGCCAAAATGGCTTCGGAAGGAGGAGGAGGAGGAGGAGGAGGAGGAGGAGGAGGTGGAGGAGGAGGAGAAGGAGGAGGAGGAGGAAGACACTAGACAAGAGACAGGAGAGGAGGAGGACGAGGAGGATGAGGAAGTGCTGAAGAGGGATGAGGAGTGGGAGGAGTAGGAGGAGCGGGAGCGGCTGCATATGGAAGTGAGGCGGAGGTGCAGCCTCGTCGCGAGTGCAGTGACGTCGGCGCTTCTGTGTCGCAGCCCGGGGACGCACGGAGGCCAACAGGAGGATCGAGAAGGGGAACGAGACGATCCTGAAGCTGAAGGCGTCCTGTTCCTTCGCACTGTTTCTGCACATTTGTGACTGCTGCATGCTCATCGTTGCGCGCATTTCGAAGGGAGGACTCCCGTGGATATGGCCAGAGTCGGTGTTGCAAGGCCAGAGACGGCGTGTGATACTGAATGGAATTGCCGCTTCAACTTGAATCATATTCCAATGAAGCATCGTTTTCAGAGGTCACTGCGAGCTGTCAGCACTGTGATCTATCTGTTTACCTGGTTGGTCACCTCATTGGGCAGCGAGTGAATGCTGGGCGGGCAACGCGGCGTCTGCCACGGAACGTCTGGACAGGATTTGAGGGCGGCCTTACACAGTATGCCGACCGATTTCGCAGTGAGTGGCTCTGGCCAGTAATGACTGGTCAGCGGCGGAAGAGGCGCCCACTGCGATGGTATGATTGGGTACGCCTGTGACTCTTCTAACAAAAGGGCGGGTGACGTCAGCCGAGTCGGTTCGGATCCCCCAATCCCTCAGCCCTGAGTTCTTGGGGGTGTTCTGACGGGAGATGATGTGGGAAAGACGAGCGAGCGAAAATGACGACGAGCCAGAGGGGGTATCGAACGGTTCGAAGTTTGGAAAGAGGTGAGGTATTGGCGACGATATGCGGCAGCTGCTTGAGGTCAGTTTTTTCAATACGTGGTCCCAGAAGTCCCGACACCCAGGGCCAGTTCTTCGTTATGGTTGTTCTTTGACGGTCCCAGGGCGCGGCGAGGGCCCCTGGAGGCCCAAGGCAGCCCAAGACTTGTGGTGGCGATCTTTTTGCGATGCGAGCACGTCTGGGTAGCCTCCGCCTGTATTCCGAGGCGGCGGCATATCTATAGCCACCGCCTCGGGGATCGGCCTTCGGGGACCTTGGCAGGCGGTGGATTAAGGATGTATTCGGGCCCAGGGGGCGGGCAAGCATACCTATATCCACTGCAAGCCGAGATCCCCGAGACCCGATCCCCCATGCAGTGTTCACGGATACATCCCCACCTCTGGCGCCATGCGCCATCGCGCGTGAATTTCGATGATTCCCGATAGGCGCCATGCGCCGTGCGCCGTCGCCATGCCCCGGATCAACTCCTGGTGAAATTCGATCCCCTCTGCGCCGCGCATCTGACGTGCGCGAGGCCCGCTCGGCTCCGGCAGCGAGGGCGCGGCGTCGCGGCGGCGCGCCGGGCGCCAGGCCGACCTGCGGCAGCTGCGCGACGCGACGGAGCCCCAGGTGCTCCGGGAGCACGAGCAGGCCCTCTTTGGGGGCCTCCTCCTCGTCGTCCTCGTCGTCCTCCTCCTCTTACTTCTATTTCCTCCCCCTCCTCCTCCTTCTCCTCCTCCTCCTCCTCCCTCCCTCCCTCCCTCCCCCCTCCCTCCCTCCCTCCCCTCCCTCCCTCCCTCCCTCCTCCTCCTCCTCCTCCTCCTCCTCCTCCTCTCTCCTCCTCCTCCCTCCTCCCCTCCTCCTCCTCCCTCCCTCCCTCCCTCCCTCCCTCCCTCCCTCCCTCCCTCCCTCCCTCCCCCTCCCTCCCTCCCTCCCTCCCTCCCTCCCTCCCTTCCTCCCTCCCTCCTCCTCAGGCCGCAGCAGCAGGCGTTCAAGTATTGATAGCTCCAGCCTGGTTGCACCGACACTGCATCCAGAAATATAGAAATATCGTTCATATGTTGGCCTAGGTAGTGGAACAGTTAGTAAGTCAGCTTTGAAGTGGAGTCGCATCTGTTCGAAGTTGTGACCGCTGTGGCGGTGTGATTGCTCGTCTCATGACCCATTATTCTCCAGGTTTCCTTCTAGACAATTTCTCCCTGTCGCATCCCAAGGCCAGTCCGAAGGGCGGGCCTGGCGTTTCTGAGATTTTCTGACCATATCTGAGCCTGAAGTTCAAAGACTCGCGACAGTTTCACAGATGGAGGGCGGGTGGTGTTCAAAATGTGGCTTTCGCCATTTCTCCGCGCACATTTGCTTTACAACATTAGCCTGGCGAAGGGCCCAACCATACGCAGTTGTGAGTACCGTCGCTGTGAGTATCGTCTTCGGTGGACCTCCTTAAAGGGGCCACGATGCACGTAAGCGGCATGCTGAAATCTAGTGGGAGCACCATGCACTGGTGCCTTCGAGCATCGCGGGGGGAATAAAATAACGGAGGGGGACAGCAACATGGGCAATTGGGGCCTTCGGTTGCGTTCCCTATGGGCCCACGAAACGTGTGAGAGGTGTGCCGAATCTGCGGGTGGGACCGCCCGGAGCCTGAGGTGGAGCTCCCTATGTCATAGCCTTATCGGACCACGGAACACGTGAGGGGTTCGCCGAAGTAGAAAGTGGAACCCCATGCGGGCGCTGCCACTGGGGCCTTCGGTGGAGCTCCCTATGGGGTCCTGATGCGTGTGGGGGTTTGCACCGAAATGTGGGTGGAACTGCATGCGGGCGCTGCCACTGGAGACTTCGGTGGGGCTCCCTATGAGGCTACGAAGCGTGGGAGGGGTGTGCCGACATGGGGGTGGAACTGCATGCGGGGGCTGCCACTGGGGCTTTCGGTGGGGCTCCCTATGAGGCCACGAAACGTGTGGTGGGGTGTGCCGACATGGGGTGGAACTGCATGCGGGCGTTGCCCTTGGAGCTTTCGGTGGCGCTCCCTATGGGGCCACGAAGCGTGGGAGGGGTGTGCCGACATGGAGGGTGGAACTGCATGCGGGCGTTGCCACTGGGGCTTTCGGCGGGGCTCCATATGGGGCCACGAAACACATGAGGGCTGCACCGAATTGAAGGGAACTGCATGCGGGCGCTGCCACGGAGGCCTGAGGTGGAGCTCCCTATGGGGCCGCGAAACGTGTGAGGGATGTACCGAGATGAAGGTGAAACTGCATGCGGGCGCTGCCACTGGGGCTATAGGTGGGGCTCCCGATGGGGCCACGAAAAGTATGAGGGGTGCATGGACATTGGGGTGAAACTGCATGCGGGCACTGCCACTGGGGCCTGAGGTGGAGCTCCCTATGGGGCTACGGAACGTGTGAGAAGAATTGCCGGAACGAAGGCAGAGGCACGAACGGAAGGCGGGACAAGATGGGAAGAGGGAGAAGGAGGAAGAGATGGAGGATGAGGGAGGTGGATGGCGAGGTGAGGATGCGGGGCGTTGTCTCTTCAAAACGAGGACCCAACGCCACAGGATGGTTGGGAACTGGAAGCAGCTTCACAGATGGAGGGCGGGTGGTTTTCAAAGTGTGGCGCTCGCCTTAGCGCCGCGCACATTCGTTTTAGCGCCTCGTACATTCTTCTTACACATTCGCAAGAGTTTCATGTATTGATGGCGGCGGCTCGCTTTCAAATGTGCCTCTAGCTCTAGCGTCGCGCAAATTAGTGTTGGACATCTGCAAGAGTTGTACTTGTTCTCTCGGTTAACGTATTAAAGACGGTGTTTTGGAACGATTCAGGATTGTCAGGGCGCAACAGTTACCTGGATTCGCGGTGTTGAAGTTCCAGTAGTGGTGTTCTTGCACAGTTCAGCTACATCAAGACGCAACATCCATATTGATTCGTGGCGTTAAGGTCATGATACTATTGTTTTGGTACGCTTCAGGATCTTCAAACGGATGTCTCCCAACGGGGCATCCCCTCAGTGGAACATAGTCTTTGTAGGGGTCAATGACGAGGGAGCTTGGGGGAGGGTATAGTCCAACATCGTTGATGAGTCTTGGGTTTACATCGGTCCTCCTCCTCCTCCTCTCATCATCCCTCTCATCCCTCTCATCCCTCCTGCCTCCTCTGGACTCTTCCTCCTCCTCCTCCTCTTTCCTCCTCGTTTCCTCTCCCTCATCCTTCCTCCTGCCGGGGTCGGGGGCCCCCAGCTGGCGCAGTGACCACACCGTGTGGTGAGTCAGTGGGGATTTTGGGTGGCCGCACGATTCGGGGATTTTGGTCGTTCTCCGAGGACGCCTCGGGCGGCTGGGGCTCGGAGGTCTTCAAGACGGTGTGGTGACGGGCCGTGCGGTGAGGTCTTTTGGGGATGCCGAGGTCACCGCAGGGTCTGTCACCGCGCCGTTTCGGGACCCCCAAGACTTTGCCGTCGCCACCCCATCCGCCCTCCCAGCGTCCAGCCACGGCGACGAGGACCTCCAGAGGCACCCTCAGAGGCGCCCGAGATGACGACGGCGACGCATCCGCCGCCCGTCTTGGCCCTGGCCGCGGCGACGAGAACCTGCAGAAGCGCCTGAAGAGAACACCGAAGCGACGATGACGTCGTCGTCGTCGTCGTCGTCGTCGTCGTCGTCGTCGTCGTCGTCGTCGTCGATGTATTGCCAAGGCGCTGACATGAGGAACTGCTCGGGTTCGAGAGCGGCTCGCTGCTCCGTCGGTCCCTCCATGGTTGCTGGTCCTCCAGCGCTCATCGTACACCAAGGCGTTTCTGGGGCCAACAGGTGGAGCTTCGCTCCTCTACAGTCGGCACGTCAAATAAGAAACCCGCCTGCTAGCGGGTACCCCACAGAAGCTCCTCATCCCCGACCCCCTGGGGCCCACAGAAGCTCTGGAGCACCTTGGCACCCTCAGCCGTGATTCCCATAGCACGAGCTACTCTCGTATGGGTCTACTGTAGGTGGCGTTCCTCATGGCAGTAGCTTGACTGTGGTCGTCGGTCGGCGCCCTCCATCCGTTGGAGTCTCCCCGCCCGGCGCGCACGCGCGCGAGGCCAGGCGGCGCCTGGAGGCGGCCCGGGGCCGCGCGGACGCGCTGGCCAGGGAGGCGCCCGGCGCCCGCCTCTCGCCGTTTCGAGGGTGATGGTGATGGTGGTGATGGTGACGATGATGAGGACGAGGTTGATAATGATGACGATGACGATCATGACGACGATGACGATGACGATGACGATGACGATGACGATGACGATGACGATGACAATGACGATGATATTGATGATGATGCTGATGCTGATGCTGATGCTGATGATGGTGCACATGTTGATGATGATGCTGATGCTGATGCTGCTGATGGTGATGATGGTAATAATGATGGTGAGGGTGATGACGATACTGATGATGACGATGATGACGACGATGACGATGACGATGACGATGATGATGATGATGATGATGACGACGATGACGATGATGGTGACGGTGATGATGCTGATGATGAGAATGGTTCTGATGCTCACGATGGAGATGATGGGGATGAGGATGAAGACGAGGATGAGGATGATGAGGATGATGATGATGATGATGATGATGATGATGATGTTGATGACGATGATGACGACGATGAGGATGATGACGATGACGATGATGATGATGATGATGCTGATGCTGATGCTGATGCTGATAATGCACATGCTGATGATGCACATGTTGATGATGCTGATGGTGATGACGACGATGACGATGATGATGATGACGACGACGACGATGATGATGATGATGATGATGATGATGATGATGATGTTGATGTTGATGACGATGATGACGACGATGAGGATGATGACGATGACGATGACGACGATGACGATGACGATGACGATGACGATGATGATGCTGCTGATGAAGATGATGCTGATGCTGATGCTGATGCTGATGATGATGCACATGCTGATGATGATGATGCTGATGCTGATGCTGCTGATGGTGATGCTGGTGATAATGATGGTGAGGGTGATGACGATACTGATGATGACGATGATGACGACGATGAGGATGATGACGATGACGATGACGATGATGATGATGATGATGATGATGATGATGATGATGATGATGAGGATGATGATGATGATTATGATGCTGATGCTGATGTTGACGGTGATGATGCTGATGATGAGGATGCTCACGATGGCGGTGATGGGGATGAGGATGAAGACGAGGATGAGGATGATGATGATGATGCTGATGGTGTTGATGACGATGATGAAGGCGATGAGGATGATGACGATGACGATGACGACGATGACGATGACGATGACGACGATGATGATGATGATGCTGATGATGATGATGATGATGATGATTATGATGCTGATGCTGGTGTTGATGATGATGATGCACATGCTGATGATGATGCTGATGCTGATGCTGCTGATGGTGATGCTGGTGATAATGATGGTGAGGGTGATGACGATACTGATGATGACGATGATAACGACGATGACGATGACGATGACGATGACGATGATGATCATGATGATGATGATGATGATGATGATGATGACGGTGATGACGATGCTGATGATGGTGATTCTGATTCTCACGATGACGATGACGGGGATGAGGATGAAGACGAGGATGAGGTTGATGACGATGAGGAAGACGATGAGGATAATGACGATGACGATGACGATGACGATGACGATGCCGATGATGATGATGATGATGATGCTGATGCTGATGCTGATGATGATGCACCTGCTGATGATGATGCTGATGCTGGTGCTGCTGATGGTGATGATGGTGGTAATGATGGTGAGGGTTATGACGATACCGATGATGACGATGACGATGATGACGATGATGATGATCATGATGACGGTGATGATGATGATGCTGATGATGATGATGATTATGATGCTCACGATGGCGATGATGGGGATGAGGATGAAGACGAGGATGATGATGATGATGATGTTGATGATGATGATGTTGATGACGATAATGAAGACGATGAGGATGATGACGATGACGATGACGACGATGACGATGACGATGACGATGGCGTTGACAATGGCGAAGATGATGATGATGATGATGATGATGATGATGATGCTGATGCTGATGCTGATGCTGATGCTGATGATGCTGATGCTGATGCTGATGCTGATGCTGATGGTGATGATGGTGATCACGATGGTGAGGGTGATGACGATACTGATGATGACGATGACGATGACGATGATGATGATGCTGATGACGGTGATGATGATGCTGATGAAGAGGATTATTATGATGCTCACGAGGATGACGATGACGATGATGACGATGACGATGATCATGATGACGGTGATGATGATGATGCTGATGATGAGGATGATTCTGATGCTCACGATGGCGATGATGAGAATGAGGATGAAGACGAGGATGGCGATGATGATGATGATGATGTTGATGACGATGATGAAGACGATGACGATGATGACGATGACGCTGATGACGATTACGATGATGATGGCGATGACGAGAATGATGATGCTGATGCTGATGCTGAGGCTGATGCTGATGATGACGACGCACATGCTGATGATGATGCTGTTGCTGATGCGGCTGATGGTGCTGATGGTGATCATGATGGTGAGGATGATGAGGATACTGATGATGACGATGATGACGACGATGACGACGATGACGATGACGATGA